ACAAAGGATAAGCATTAGAAATAGTCTTTGTTTGGTTTTGGATTTTATTGATGGTCCCATTAGAAAATGCATAAGGATGTGGGTAAACTAAAATTCCTATCATTTTCTGTCATTGCCCCCAAACCCCGCCAGTATTTACAGTTAGTTGTGATGGGTAAGTGTGTCAATTTTGTTCCAGATCCATTGTTGGTGGGGTTTATAGTACCCAGCATTTCCCCTCATCCTAAAATTGCCACACCAGTAGTTAAAATTGGTCATGATGAGTATGTGTGTCAAGTTTGGTCCACATCCATCGTTGGTGGGAGTCACAGTGCTCGCTGGAAGTGGGTACCATCTTGGAAATTGCCCACATTCATATCTACAAACCCACTAACCCACATACATACAAACATATAGTCACTTTTTTTATACAGATAGATGGACTGTCATCCTTGAGGAATCATTATATGTTATTCTTTCAACATGATGTAATTTATCCAGAAAATGTAGATTACATTAAAACTATGATAAATAAGAAATAAATAAACAGGGGAAATATGTTCCAAGTATGTTCCTGTAGGCTTTTGGATCTTCCTGCTCATATCAACAAACTGATACCACAACCTCAGGATTAATCCCATTTCAAGCTGTCCAACTGTCCTGTTTGATTATTACACTGATGCTCTCATCTGTGGATCCCACAGTATTAAAAAGCACACGTCTCATAGCAACACAGGTACATAAAGGCTGTGTCAGATCTCAGATAATCATGCTTTTCATAAACAACTGCACAGTCTTAGATAGGAAGAACAAATTGTGACTGAATGAACAATACAGACAGAATGTATGACTTAAGGTGCACCCACACTGTAGAACTGATGGAGTTGGCCACAAGTGTAACTTCTATAGCTCAAAGCTATGGAATTACAAGGTTGTTAGCTTTATCGGCCAAAGAGTGCTACAACTCGCATGAGTCCATAGCACTGACACATGGCAGTTAAAGTGTTCTCAGACTCCATTAGTTGTACAATTGTAGATGCACCCTTTGTGCCCCTTTTTGAAATGATAGAGCATACAACTACCCCATCTCTTCCCCATTTTTTTTACATGGAATTATAAGACCAAAACCTGTTCCGAAAAGAACATTTCAAAAAGTTTAATAGGGGGGTTTGTTGGGTGATACATAACTAAGGAATGTATAGAATGTCATTTAAGGAATATTTATTTTTGGAATAATGTGTATTGAAATAAGTCCTGTATGGCAAAATTTTGTTGATTGTTGGGATGTATCAAATAAAAGAAGTAAAAAAAACTGATCTCATTACTGTGATATTCAGTCAAAATGAACGCAATACAATGTTTGTATGTGTCACTTTTATATTACTCATATTTTTTTATTTTTAAAATTATATCCCAATACATCATCAAAAGATCTCAATTAGGCCATAAGAGTAAATCCATGTTTCCACTTGTAACCTTATCAGATGAAGGCAAAGAAACCTCTTCTCCTTGCTTCTCTGTGCTGCTGGCATGGAGTTCCCTGGAGCCCATCACATGATGCAGGGCTACTTCTGTTTGGCTCTGTGCCAACCAGAGGAGTTGGGTATACCCTCAACTCCTCATACACAAAAGGCAGAGGAGCCAAAGAGGACGAAGGGGACAGCGGGGCAACATCATGGGAAGGGATGGCATGGACCCTGACTGTAGGGAACACAGCCAGATGATTCCTTACACTGCACCACGATTTCCCACACTGTCCCCTTGCTTTACAAAGTGCCATCTGATGAGGTCCTTGGTGTCCGAACAACAGCAATATTGCCACCAATTTAGCCTTCAAGTGCAAGGTGTCCCATAACTGTGGTCACACAGTACACTAGGATGCCACATAGAAAGGATTTTATATAAAAAGAAGTCAAATAAATACATGTCATGTATCCATACAAGCTTCCAAAGAAATAGCCATTTTCGATCAAAGAGAACACAATCTTAGCCCCATTTTTATCAGCTAATTAAATGAACAAAGCCAAGAGAAATGAACTTGATTATCCATAAAGGAAGATGACATATTACTTACCTAGTCCCAAACACGAAACTCTTAATCCAGATTTCCCAAGGTTTCTAGAATTAAAAATAAGAATAGAATTACCATCAAGCCACCACAGTGTTGCAGTTTGAGGGTTTGACCACAACACTAGAGAATAGGTTTTGAGGGCCTGCTCAGCCACTAGAAACCCACTGGGTAACCTTGTGCAAGTCATACTTTCTTAGAGGAAGGCAAAACCAAAATCTGTGATAGGTTTGCCTTAGGGCAGTGGTTCTCAACCTGGGGTCCCCAGATGTTTTTGGCCTACAACTCCCAGAAGTCCCATCCAGTTTACCAGCTGTTAGGATTTCTGGGAGTTGAAGGCCAAAAACATCTGGGGACCCCAGGTTGAGAACCACTGCCTTAGGGTCACCGTAAGTGCATGGTAATATGTTTACCAAGCATTCTTTGCATACATATTAAACATTTTTGACTAGTCAGATATATGCATTTCAGAATTATATACACATTGTGACTGTATATACTTGAATTTGTGATAACACGTAAGGTCATTTTACATTGAGAAATGGAAATTATTGACTAATTGCATTTATATACGCAACCCACTAAGCAGTTTTCTTGATGGCTTAGTAAAACAAGAAATATATTAACAGCATCATTTAACTTTTACATCCTTCAAAGACCACAGCAGATCCCCAGAACCTCCCTCACTTTCCAAATTTTGTTGGGCTGATCTTCAAATGCTTTGTCATTTAAAAATAGACCAAAATACCACCCCACCCAACTACTTCCAAATGTAACAGTTTTGCATTCCCAGTCTACAGAAATAATAACTTTCTTAAGTTTGACAATGTTACAAAAACTAGTTTGGCTCAGAGAATCGTTTTGCTAGTCTTTGGGAACACCTTGCCAAATGTCAACATTTCAGTACTACTTTGAGAAACAGAAGGGGTTGATAGTCAAGCGGCTTTTCAACATGATTAAAACTAGGACCTTGAAATATTTACTCCTCCAAGTATGCAAATTTTGAACATGATTGAAATGCTAAAGAATTTGCAGGAAGCAATTTTGCACCTAAGCCTTAAAAATGTCTCTATGGAGAAGAATGCTGGAATCTGTCGGCTAGCCAAAAGAGAATTATACATCTCCATTCGTTCAGATGATGTAGCAATTTGGCATGCCATTGCCCAAATTTGTTGAGTTAGACACTTTTAGTGAGAATATATTGTTACAAGACAAGCTCCTCAAGAAGTAGCATTTTGTAGTGAATAAAAATAAAGTAGTTATATTTAGAGGCGTGTGCCGTGAACTGTGGTGTGCCATGTATCTTCCTTTTAAGCTGTTCCTGCCTCGTTTAGTATTCATTGTAGTAACACAGTACTTGAATAAAATATCTTCAGTGGCTTATCACAATATAGAGATACATCATAACAGCAGTCAGCCAGTGATTGCCCAAACAGTGGCAGCTTTTCTTCCTTTTTATTCAGCTCTGGTCCAAGGACCAAATATGACACAGTGGAGGCTAAACAATAGCAGGAACAGCTTAATCTTTTTATGATTGGAAAAGTTCTCTAGCATCTGAAGTCCTGGCATGTTTTTGAAGAATATACCTTACATACAGTTCTTATGTTTGAAAACTCCTTACTAATTTGAACTAGAGTTTCTCCCTCTGAAAAACATGTTATATTGTTATAAGTAATGCAGTTGGTTTCATTAATCAGAATGGGGATTTTTTCTTTCTTTCAATAGTTATAGAACATAGTCGACTCTTCTGATGGCCCTGTGGTTTCTATCATATTGGATGTTCTCCATTGCAGTGGTTGTCATATGTGAACTTGTGCATGCAGAAAGCAGAATTGGAATGATGCTCAATGTCTCTGTCCAGTAGAGGGTTGCTGTTATGCAACTATATAGCCGAGATGGCTATATAGTTTTGGTCTCATGTGCAATGGGACCAAAATGAATTGTGACCAAAATACTATGGTTCTTGATGCATCTTTGGACACTTTTTCTGATGTCATAGTATGCATTCTTGCAATTCAGCACCTCTGCTACTTAGTTACATGTTTGTAAATTTACATTAAGGACATTATCACATGCCCCTCCCCATGCCGTTTCACCATCACGGGGGAAGTGTCACCCAGCTGAGGCAGAAATGTACTGGCTCCATTGGAGCCAGCACAATACAGTTGCTTTTCCATGTTGACAAGGAAGTGTCCTAGGACACTTCCACACTAATTGGGGTGGAGCCTCCATTGGAAGTTGAGAGACATCAAGTGATGGACTGCATGTCTATCCATTCTTCAACTGGCTGGCAAGTGACCGAGTACATTTAAACTGGTAAGTGCAATGAGGTCCTAAGTAAAAGGTCATATAGGATTTTGGCCATTGTCTATATTCAATGGCTGTACTTTAGTAGCTTCATTAAGAGTAAACAGTGGGAAAGCTTTCCATAACACAGACTGCTGAAAGAAGAGAAAGGGAGGGGAAAGAACCAAAGGAGAATCTTCTGGCATTATGCCTCAATGCTTTGGAGCTCATGACTTAAAAGAGCTGATTCTGTATTAGCAGATGGCAACCTTATTGCTGTTTTAAAAATAAAATAAAAACAACAGGGAGGTTTTCATGTGGCAGACTGCTAATTACAGCAACAAGTAAAGTGCATGCATGTTTGTTCTATGACTATTACTCACTTGGTTAAAAGAAACAGAAAGATGAGCTTAAGGCTTTGGGATCTAATAAATGCCTTTTCATGCAATATTTCCTTGCACCCCAATACATACACAGTTATATACTGGTTTGTATCCTGTAGTGTATCCTGACCTTGAACGAGCTGGGGGTGGTGACAGCCGACAGCAGGCCCGTAGCCAGGATTTCGTTTCGGGGGGGGGGCTAAAAATTTTTCAGGGGGGAGTTCGGGGGGGGGGGGGAGTTTGGGGGGGGCTGAGTCTGAGTGAAAGAGGGTCTACCTAGCAAACCTTTTGTATCATTACCCCAATACCCCCATGCATATGGGATATATTGAGTATGGTGATCAGATCATGATATGAATAAACATAACAGTTTAAATAATGCACCAGTAAGGCCTTTTCGCGAACCACCATGAGAATTTTGGGGGGGGGGGCTGAAGCCCCCCGAGCCCCCCCCCCCTGGCTACATGCCTGGCCGACAGGGAGCTTTGGTGTGGGCTGGTCCATGAGGTCGCAAAAAGTCGGAGACGACTGAACGAATGAACAACATCCTGTAGTGGAAATATCCTTCAACTTGCTTAAAGCAGGGCTACTGAATTTCAACAAGCAAAAACTATAAAAGGGAAAACAACATAAAACTTACAAAGAACCAAACCATTCTTGGATTCTTTAAGACAAGATTGGGTAAATTTATGGAGGGTGGGACCATCAACAGTCAAGATTAAAATATATTATCTACCATATCTGAAGCAGTATGCCTTTGTATATAAATTGCACACTGATATACAGCATAACCGGTGAGGCTGGCTGACTTCTTATAGGTATCTGGTTGGCTACTGTGTGAACTGAAAGGTGAACTAAATAGACCCTTTGTATAATGTAACATGGCCTTTTATGTTCTCATGGAGGGAATACACACCTGGACAATTGATGGCCTATCAAAGTAGTCTGAGAGGCCCCATCTGCACTGCCATATAAAACCAAGAGTATCAGCTTTGAAATGGATTATATGGCAGTGTAGACTCATATAACCTAATTCAAAGAGCCCCTAGTGGTGCAATGGAGTAAACCCTTGTGCTGGCAGGACTGAAGACCAACAGGTCAGAGGTTCGAATCCGCGAGGAGCTCAAATGAGCTCCCTCTGTCAGCTCCAGCTCCCCATGCGGGGACATGAGAGAAGCCTCCCACAAGGATGGTAAAACATCAAAACATCTGGGCATCCTCTAGTCAACGTCCTTACAGAAGGCCCATTTTCTGCCATGAAAAAAAATAAAAATCTAATTCAAAGCCGATAGTGTGGATTATTAACTTGGGTAATCAGGACTATGTGGCAGTGAAGATCCAGCCTGAAAGTGTTTCATACAAGCTGCCACCATATTGCATGCACAGGCTATGTATCAAGTTGTATACAGTGTCAGACCCTTTATTTATAGATGTACTCCCCTTTTTTAGGTATCAAAGTATGATTATAGGGGGAGGAAAACATGCAAGGATCACTTTCCCATATGGTGTCCTCCACATAACTATGCAGCATTCAGCCCACCCAACAGCTGTTGGTGTGTAGAGTGTAAATTAAATGTAGCATGCACAGGAAACAAACCCATGCCTGACTTATTTATATAAATTGTACCTGCCTGAATAAGGCCTGGAAAGAGGAGTTTCTAGCATATAGCAACAGGCAGGAGAGATCTCAACATGGAAGGAAGAAAGGCAGAGAAGTATGGTTGTTTGAGTGAGTGCAGAATGTGTCCCTGATAGGACCAGTATACACAGTTTCATTTATCCATACCTGACAAAATATGTGCTCTTTAGACATTTTCTAGGTCCTCCCTCTGTGGATAAAAGAGTTCATAAGCCGATATCCTTTGTTGCATGTGGTCTTTGGATAGCAAAAACGTTGCCCAGCCATGAGACAAGATAAAATTATTTCTTATTGCTTAAGGCAGGGTTAAGACTTATGGATCATTATTGGCCCCAAGACCATATTTTCTGCACCTTGAGTTCCCACTCCTTGCTCAGAAAACTTTATTCTTTTCTATGTTTCTAGAAACAATGACTTCCCTTTTAGTATGCGCTGTTACACCCCCCCCCCCCAATACTTTTAATTTTGAAAAAAGTATATAAAATAGTAATGGGGGGGGGGGCACAATACAGGATATAAAAAATACAAAGAAAAAAACTAGAGGAATTGTATCCATCATCCCAGTGGTGTGATCCTTCTTAACTCTTGGCACCAGCAGATCCTTCTCTCAATCATCCCATTAGCCTCTAAGAGCTAAGAAGGGAGCTGTCAAGTTAAAGGGCTTTTTAAAGAAATCACCAGGTGATGACGGGAGACAATCTCAGTCTGATCTGGGCACTTGTTCAAATTTTTATAAGCCATT